AAAAAAAAAAAAAAAATAAAATTTGGGTCCAAATTCTGGAATATATTAGTCTTTCATCTATGCATATGATTTTACATATTCTCCTATAATCACAAACAATAATGTAACCATATATATATACATGTGTGTATGTACATATAGTATATAAAGATTCATTTATGAGTATATATTATATAAATATACAAACCCAGGTTTTATGTGCTAAAATGAAAGCAGCCTTCCTCCCCCTCCCCCAATTACTGTGGTGACCATGAAAACTGCATATAAAAGTGTTATTCTCCCTATAATAAAGTATTTCATCCTGAAGCCCAGCAGTTTCAAATAAACTATTGTAAAAAAAAAAATCTCATTTTAGATGTTATTGTCAGTTCACAGAGATCCCATTAATTCAATTTTCAGTTAATTCCTTGGGAGGCACTTTATGAAAAATTTAAAAATTATACATCTTTTTCTAATATCAATCTTTTAATATATTGTCATTAGTTTATAAGTTCCAGGAGGCAGGGCTTATACATATTAATTGAATAAAAAAAAGAAAAAATCTTTTCTTGAGGTATATTCATATAGACAGCTAAAATTGTGCTAACTGTTCTCTAAGAAATGTTAGGTATATTTTAAATTGTTAAGAAATATTATTCAACCCAGTCTAAACTTTGATTCCAACAGATATTAAGCAGAGATCCAAAGCAATAAAATGATAAATTATGTTTAGAAATATTAGTAATATTAGGCTATCTCAATTGAATTTAATTTTTCAATGCATATTACTTTATATGTATATGTATATATATTCATGAACCATATATATGTATTAAAATATATATCTACATATGTATAACAATGTATCTGTATATCATCCATAGATAGATTCATATACTGAACACACACACACACAGAGACATACACACTCCCCCTTGTTATATCTATTAGCTGGACTTCATAGCATACAACCTAAGAAAGAACTAACATCACTTCTCGAGAAGGCTGACTGATTGTAATACTTCTATCTTTCTTCATTATCCAAGCAAGACAGTCAGACCTCTATACTCAAAGTTATCAAGATCTGTCACTCAAATTTACATATAAAAACATCATCTTTACATTCCCTTATTTTTTTAAAGATTTTATTTATTTATTTGACAGACAGAGATCACAAGCAGGCAAAGAGGCAGACAGAGAGAGAGGAGGAAGAAGGCTCTGCTATGCAGAGAACCCTATGCGGGGCTCGATCCCAGGACCCTGGGATCATGACCTGAGCCGAAGGCAAAGGCTTCAACCCACTGAGCCACCCAGGTGCCCCTCTCTTATTTTTTTTAAATCTTAGAACAGTCCCCACTCTTTATAGAGTGTCACTCATGGTGACATCCATTTTTACCATTTGTTCCATTAATTCAACAAAAATGCACTGAGCACACCTATGCCAGTCCCTGTTCGTTCCTGGAATGACAAATGTCCTTATCTGAACAGATCTTCCAGTGTGGAGACACACAGCAAGAAAGTGAACAAAGAAAGAAGGACGGTAATTTTGGAGATGATAATTTTAGAAAAAAAGAGAGAAATGCAATAGAGGATGCCTTGCTTAAGAGACGGGGATCAGGAAGAACCCCCCCCCCAAAGATGGCTTCCTGAGTACATCACAAGGATACTCGGGATACAGCTGCTCAACTAGGAATTATGTCACATTGTCAGTGGGCAAACAAATGAGTCTGTAAATGAGGTACATGTGATACTTTCACAGAAATCACTTGCTCTCTAGACATCTGTTATGGGAGATGTTTAGGCAGGCTCTGTATGGCCTATGGAGGTGTATGACCAGTTTAGTCATGTTTGAAAATATGACCCCTAAATGTTAAGTACCATGACTGAACTTTATTCCCAGAGACCAGATTCTCTGAACCTTTCCAGTGACAATTAGCTAATGTTCTACAATAACCTGTGGCAAGGGGAAAGGGTCTGACACCTGCTGCTAACCCAGAGGCAACCTGAGTACACAGAATCCCAGTCATGGAAGGTTAGTGTTTCCAGGAACCTGACACATCATCTGTCATTTTGTAGAGGCCGAAATAGAAGACCGGAGAGAGTCAACCATTTATGGAAAGCTGGTCTGATAATTAGTCCCGTATCCTGGGTTTGTAGGCTTCTCTATTCAGGCTTCTTTCTGTGGTCCAGCAGACTGGGGAAGGGCAGGCACTCTGAAGTCATGCCTTCTGGGTTCAAAGACTTGCTCTGCCACTTACAGCTGCTGATTATCTTGGGCAAGTCATTTAACTTCCCTGTGCTTCTCTAAAAAAGAGAAGCATTGTTTATCCCTAATCGTAAGTCTGATGTGACGGTGAAGAGAGTTAATAAGTGTGAAACATTTGAAAAGTGCCTGCCATATGGTAAGTGATTTCCTCCCCCTCTAATTATTCCCCTTCTCCTTCTTCTTCGTGATACAATCATTACTTTCACCAGCTTTTTGTCAAGGCTGCTAAATTTAATTTTATTTAATGATATGTACATAGTTTGTGGGCATTGTTGGATTCTTGGGCACAAAGGCAGAGGCTTTAACCCACTGAGCCACCTAGGCACCCCTCGATTATGTTATTTTTTATTTTCTTTTATTTTTTTAAAAGATTTTATTTATTTATTTGACATACAGGGATCACAAGTAGGCAGAGAGGCAGGCAGAGAGAGAGGAGGAAGCAGGCTCTCTGCTGAGCAGAGAGCCTGATGCGGGGCTCCATCCCAGGACCCTGGGATCATGACCCGAGCCAAAGGCAGAGGCTTTAACCCACTGAGCCACGCAGGTGCCCTGATTATGTTATTTTTGAGATAAAGCAAATTTTAAAAGAATGTCTAGCTCAGTACCTGAGTAACTGCTATAGTATGTTTAATGCATTAATCATTTAGGGCCACTCGAATAATCTTTTAAAAGTTTCCTAGGTTTGCATAACATGGTTGTGAATCTAGGGGACTCTGAGTTGGTCAAACTGAGTTTAATGAGCTCAGCTAGAAGTACAGGTGGGATTTGAATGAATTCTCTGTAATCAGGAAGTAGAAATATGGCTGCCCATCGTATACTCTTTACTTCCTGATTCCGGTACTTCTACTGGGCAATTAGGCAATCTGGCAGAGAACAAAACAGAATGCGGCAATTAAGCAGGGAAGACTGCGCGAGGAGAGATGCCTGGTAACCTGGCTACTTCTGCTGCAGTGCCCGACTCCAAATGGCAACTTCATCATCTATGAGTCCATTTATTCCCCCCAAACGAAATCTAACTCTTTTTTTTTTTTTTAAAGATTTTATTTATTTATTTGACAGACAGAGATCACAAGTAGGCAGAGAGGCAGGCAGAGAGAGAGGGGGAAGCAGGCTCCCTGCTGCCCAGAGAGCCCGATGTGGGGCTCGATCCCAGGACCCTGGGATCATGACCTGAGCTGAAGGCAGAGGCTTTAACCCACTGAGCCACCCAGGCGCCCCGAAATCTAACTCTTATATGAGAAACCGCATAATGCCGATTTGTGCCAACGAGCAGCACCAACGGCCACAGACTATCCCCTCACTAAAAGGGATCAAAGCAGCTTTGCAATGGGATCTCTTTAGGGTATTAACTGGAACTTTTAAATCCCTCTATTTTACATATCCATAGTTCAGAAGCAGTTGCAGAAGCTGCTCCCAAGATGAAACTTTGTGCAGCAAATTGGCGCCTAGACTGAACTTCCATGGTTGAGTTAGAAAGCTCTGACAACTGCAGTTGGTAATGGAGGGGTTGACAGACCTCTGACAGTATTAGCTCTGACAGCTGATGGAATGCTGGTTACTTCCCCTGCTATGACACGAGTGCACCATTGCGAGGATCTCCTGAGTGCTAGGCAAGTAGAAAGACTTTTCTGAATAAAGATTCTTACCTGGCAATATTTTCAAAGGCATACCAATAACCCACCTGATATACATATATATGCATACACACACACACACACACACACGATTATATGTCATCTATAATCATATAAATAGATATGTAGATATTATGTCAAATAATTTTAAAATCTTTTTATTTTATTTTATTTTAAAGATTTTATTTATTTATTTGACAGAGAGAGATCACAAGCAGGCAGAGAGGCAGGCAGAGAGAGAGGAGGAAGCAGGCTCCCTGCTGAGCAGAGAGCCCGATGCGGGGCTCGATCCCAGGACCCTGAGATCATGACCTGAGCTGAAGGCAGCGGCTTAACCCACTGAGCCACCCAGGCGCCCCTTAAAATCTTTTTAAATGTGAACTATGTACTGGATTTTTAAGCATAATGTTGTCAAGGTCAGAGAGGTGTCAAATTTGAGTCTTTCATTTTTAAATACTATTTTTCTATATAAGCTGGGCTGGTCGATGTATTGACCAGAAAGAAGAACATTTTATATAACCAAAAGACAGACTAATAGGATGAAGTACATGGTATTTAGACATAGTTGTGGCAGCACGAAACATTCTAGTTACACTTAAGGCACGCAGTATACTCCCCACTTTGAAAGTGCATGTGGGTATTTGATTTCTAGCCAAGAATAACATGACAATCATGTTGTTGCTATTGTCTCCTCTATTTTGGGGAGAGCAAGGAAAGTTCATGCTCTTTCTCCTTTTCTGTCTTCTATTATCTTCTCTCAAAATATTGGTTTCAAGATTACAACATCAACTGAGGAAAATAATTTCAGACAATTTTGCTCTAAGTAAGATACAGAGAGTAGCTGACGGCAAAGGTCAAAGTCATCTGTATTCAGTCAATATTTACATTTAGACTTTGTGGGTTTAAGCAGATATAGTCCAGTTAAGGTCTATGTAAGGAATATAATCCAATTTCCTTTGACACACGCGCACACACACATATGTGTGCACCTGTGTGTGTGTGTCATGCACATATATTCAGTGTGAAAATGATCTTCATATTCTCCTTCTCATGTGACCTAAAGCTCGGGCTGCCATATACTGTGTGCAATCAGTAACACAGACAGCACTCCCCCGACATATGGAAAAACCCCATGTGGTGGCTTTGGCTAAAGCATTTAACTTTCTTCAAAAAGCAAAAGTCACTTACATTCGGTACATGATAATGCTTAGGCCACTGGAAAACATTTACTATCCCCTTCACACACGCACATACACAAACACACATGCACTCCACAGGAGACAAATCAGATACGGATTCCCCTACACGCATATGTACATGTATATTCCCGGGCCCCGGAGGATATGATGAAGTAGTTATTTCCATACCTACTGCACCTGGAATGCCTCGTGGACCACTTTCTCCAGTGGGACCTCTGTCTCCTTTTTCACCGGGAGGTCCAGGAGGACCTTTAAAAAATAAATGACAATTTCCGATCACAGTTTTAAAACAATGGTAAAATGCATATGTCATGTTTCAGGACCGTTCTTTAAGTAAACCCAGTCTTCTGTTTGTTGTGCTGTAGCATAGAATGAGTAAGACTGACCCTCTTGAATGGAGGGTCATGAGAAATACACAACCTAGCTAGCTAGTACATACTTACGTGTGCCCAGCACTTATTTAGGTTCTTGGAACCCAGGAGCAGAGAAAAGACCTGGAGTCAATGATGCCATAAACTCACCTTAGTATTGGGTACATACTAGGCAAATTCCACTGTATGGACTTAGACGCTGTGTGGAACATGTGTGAGGATGTATAAACCATGTGTGATGCACACATAGTTGACAACCAAAAACCATGTTGTTGGAAATGACTAACTCACATCTCTGAGAGACACGCAGATCCGTGGGAGCAGCAATGGTTGAGATGCCTTTGAGAGACTAGGAATCGTAATTTGAATGAGGAAGAGAATGAGATGAAAGAGAATTCTGAGGGGCGCCTGGGTGGCTCAGTGGGTTAAAGCCTCTGTCTTCAACTCAGGTCATGATCCCAGGGGCCTGGGATAGAGCCCCACATCAGGCTCTCTGCTCAGCAGGAAGCCTGCTTCTCTCTCTCTCTCTGCCTGTCTCTCTGCCTACTTGTGGTCTCTGTCAAATAAATAAATAAAATCTTAAAAAAAAAAAAGAAAAAAAAGAATTCTGAGTAAGAGGCAGAGACTTGGGGAAAGGTAGGAAGATGAAAATGAGTAAAAGAACACTTTTCAAATAAAAATGAACAACACGGGTTTGGATGGTGGGTCCTCTCATATACAGATTTTTTTTCCAATAAATACAATACAGTACTGCAAATATATTTTCTCTTGCTTATGATTTTCTTAATAATATTTCTTTTTCTAGCTTTAAGAATATTTTGTATGTTAAATGTCCTACATACTGTATTCTTAACCGTGTTAACTGATTATTACAGTTAAGGCTTCCAGGCAACAGTAAGCTATTAGTGAAGTGTTGGGGGACTCAGAAGTTATACACTCATTTTTTTAAAAAGATTTTATTTATTTATTTGTCAGAGAGATAGAGAAAGTACAGGCAGGCAGAGTGGCAGGTAGAGGCAGAGGGAGAAGCAGGCTCCCTGCGGAGCAAGGAGCCCGATGTGGGATTCGATTCCTAGGACCCTGAGATCATGACCTGAGCTGAAGGCAGCCGCTTAACCGACTGAGCCACCCAGGCATCCCTATACACTCATTTTCAAGGGCACAAGGGATCAGCACCCCAATGCCTGCATCATTTACAACTAGAGTTGTATTAAGTAGTTGTATTAAGTAGAATCCCTAAATAGATACAGATATGATAAAATCAGTTGGAGAGGTGGCAGGGACAATTTTGATGACCTGGCCCCACAATTTCCCAAGTACTGAATTTAATCAATACTGATTTAGTCATTTGAATTTTATGTGCCCAGCAAAATGGATATCTAGTGATCACCTCTTGAGAATGATGGCACTTTGGAATTTTTTTTTTTAAGATTTTTATTTATTTATTTGAGAGAACAAGCAAGAGAGAAAGCACGAGTGGGCTGAGGGGGAGAGAGGAAGAAGCAGACTTCCCGCTGAGCAGGGAGCCCAACACGGGCCTCTATTCCAGGACCCTGAGAGCATGACCTGAGCCAGCCAGGCACCCCTGGCAGTTTGGAACTTAAAAGTTACCCCGCTAATATTCCCTCTTCCACAAGGAACTGCACAGGACAAGTATTAATCCCTTCCCTTCAAGCAGAACAATTTGCAATTTTCTTTTCAACTCCAAAAGGAAGAAATGAACTTGGCTATACCACAGAATAATAAACAGCAACGTTTTAAAAGAGGCATTTTCAGTCGCTGTGGTTTGGCCAAATACATAGCCCAAATATGACGCACAACTCTCTTTAGCATCACTGGCTGGAGAGCACTTGCTTACATATTTTAATTAGGTGGGGGAATAAAATATCTGAAGAATTTGAAGAGAGGGCCACGTGAACAGATAAAGATTATCTCATGAAAAAGTGTATTCTGTTCATGTTCTAAGTCCTGTCCCTGCTTCTCTTCATTTTTCTGATCTGTTCCATTTTTCAATGTCCAACTTGGATTGTAGAACCTTCCTTCCCTGGTTACTCAATTTTTAACATATCATTGTTATTCTCAATGGCACATTGCCCCTTTCTCTTCATATGCATCGTGGGGCATTAATATTTTATTATACTTTCATTACAAAAGCAACTCTACTTATTACAGTAAATACAAAAGCCTAGAAAAATATAATTCATAATTTGATCTTAAGAGACTAACCATTAACATTTATTTCTTTTGTGTGTATTTTTTATTTTGTTTGACTGCCTTTTTTTTTTTTTTTGGGTAACATAATCACGTGCAAACAAATTCCCCGAAGCTATAGCTTCATGTTGGAGACATATATTTAGATGTTGCCCAAGAAATGCCAGGGTTCTACATCAGGGAGGAGTTGCACCTCCACAACCATGAACATGGCTGCAGTTCATTCATCTCTACACAGGGACAAAGTTAAGGGCAAGCAGGACAGACAGACTCAATTTGCAGCCGGCATTTTGCTGAGCAAATTGAAAGGAAGCAAATCCACTCTTTCTTTGGGGGAAAGGAAAAAAAGTGTACTAGGAGAGATTTTGATTTAGTAATTAGAGATCTAAAGCAAGACACAGACATTCCAGGAAAAAGTAGAATGTGTAAGACAAGAAACAAGTCACTAACAGACTAGATTTTGGCTCTTTGCCTCTGTGGTTAAGAGTTTTCACCATTTATTCAGCCAGTAAGAGATAGAACTCTTTTAGAAACACTTCCATTTCAATTATTTTGCAGATAACTCTGTAGAGTAACTGCATACAGCTCTAACGTTGGAGAATTAATACAATCATAACAGATACATGGGTTATTTTATATAACTCTGAGTCAAAGCTCCCTCTCTGTATTTTTTTAAAAGACTTTATTTATTTTAAAAAAAAAGACTTTATTTATTCATTTGACAGAGATCCAAGTAGGCAGAGAGGCAGGCAGAGAGAGTGGGAAGCAGGCTCCCCTCTGAGCAGAGAGCCCGATGTGGGGCTCCACCTCAGGAACCCAGGATCATGACCTGACCTGAAAGCAGAGGCTTTAACCCACTGAGCCAGCCAGGCGCCCCATGTATTTTTATATAAAATACTGATACCAGGTTTATGACTCCCAGAGTAAGAAAATCAATTAGGCCTTAAAGAATTCTAACTAGGTGTGTTGGCTGTTACATTTGTATTGTTGTTTTATTCTTCATGTAACATTAATTTCACTTATTATGTTTCATTTTTATACATTGTTATATCTATTCTCCTGAGTAGAAAATGTGGGAAGTATCTCAATAAATACTTTCAGTGTCTTTTACATATTTGGGTGAATAGAAGTGCCCAGATGATACACCAGTTTTCTCTTAACTTTGTGTATAGAACTTTTTTTTTTTTTAAGATTTTATTCATTTACTTGACAGATAGCAATCACAAGTAGGCAGAAAAGCAGGCAGAGAGAGAGGGGGAAGCAGGCTCCCCACCGAGCAGAGAGCCTGATGTGGGGCTTGATCCCAGGACTCTGGGATCACGACCTGAGCGGAAGGTAGAGGCTTTAACCTACTGAGCCACCCAAGCGCCCCTGTGTGTAGAACTTTTGAGAACATAGTCAACACAACACTATCATGCAACCTTCCAAAAGTGGTCTCTTCATCCCTGCTGTAGCTCACATCCTAATCATCCTGCCCTTGGACTAGTCTAGAGATTTTTATCTGGTCTGAATGTATTGTGTCTATTTCACCTCATATTTCCTTCAGTTCCAGCTTTAAAAAAAAAGTACCTCTATCAACTATATATAGAAATACAGCTATCTATTCTGCCATGTTATGGAAGAAAGAAGGAAGAACTTAAAAGTCAGGAGACTTGGTGTCTTTGCAGTCACCTTTGTTCTGAATTACTGTCAATTCCTAAGAATTCACACTATTTTTCTTCAAATTTAATACCATCTAACTGCGAAGTTCCAGGGATAATTCGTAAATGCTGCAGCTGTAATTTGCCATGGACAACTTCCTCTATAAAACACACATACAAAATCCACTGCTTAGCTCCCTATGATTTTTTTTTAAAGGAAAACTAAGATTTCTACATCGCCACAAAAAGAACTGATTTAGAATACTCAGTAACCATAAATATCAGAGATCAAAATTACACAGTTACCGAGAAAAGCAAACCCAGGCATATCCTAGCATTTAAAGTCCTCAGATGGTACCAAAGAACTAATAATGTCTGCCTAAATTTCCAGAGCTATGCGTCTCTGTGTCCTATTCATTATGATTACACATTTTCTACTTTATTCTTAATCTTTCCTTGTCATCCTAGAAACCTACCACATCTTCTAAGCTATTGCTACTCATAGCTAGGCTACTATTACTTAAATGTGCCTCTTTCTTTCCTTTTAGTTTTCATGCATATTGACTTAGATATCTTTAATTTGGAAGGAGCCTTGAAGATTTCTTAGTCAAACACACATATAGGGGGGTCAGAGAGAGTAAGACTTTAAAGTCCAAAAGTCCAAGGTCTTAAAACTAGTTGGATAAAACCGGAAATAGACCACTTCTTTCCTGACCTTCTAGGCTATCCTATTCCCAGCTTAATGGACTTCATTCCTGGCATCTGTTTTTCCATTATTCCTGGGAAGAATTTTTCTATTACATAGTGGTTAAAACCACAACCATTTTTTATTTTTAAAATCATGGAAATTGGTTGCATAAATCTCCAAATTTAAATTCTATCGATTGTTTCTTCTTCTTCCGTGACACGAATATGTTTATGTCTGAATATAAATATGCTTTTAGATCCTGGCAAGAAAATTAGTTTAAAATTTCTTTTCAAAAAACATCACATTATCTTTTCTCACACTGAACCGTACTGTATTTTATTTCTCTTAACTCCTCTCCTCAAATGTTCACCAACTTTGTTTCTTTAAATCATGCTATGTCTCACCCCCCACCAAACTACTTCACTATTGCAGTGATGAAATTCCATTTAATCCTTTAGACTCTAATGACTATAATTACTTGAAAATGTGTTCAAATATCTTTGTCTCTTTTATCTTCATGATTACTTAGCAACTGTTAATATCAAAAGGGGGGACACAAAGATAGCATCTTTGTTGACAACCAACAAATGATAGGGCACTCATTAGTTTGTACAATTTGGTTTTTTTGGGTTATAGTTTCATAAGTATTTATTAAAAATTTCTTTTATGCATAGATGTGGTAGAGAATATAAAAAATAGCCCCTAATTTTAAGGAATGTATTAATTCCAAGAAGAGCCAACACTGCTCTAGAAGACAATGTAAGGTACTTTTCGAGATGATTATCATGTGACAATTTCTCTGATGAAAAAAAAACTATGTTTAGTAGAAAGGAAGATACAGATGTCAGGAAGAGTGTTACTCTGATGGAACTACAGAAAGCTTCACAATATCAGATGGACATTGAAATGAGAGATATGGTATTTTTAGACAGAAATAGAAGGTAAGATATTTAAGGGAAGGCAAAGGCATAAAGCAGGATATAAAAAGTACTGGGTATGTTAGAATCACAGTTAAATCATTGGAAGTACTTGGTATCAAAAAGGGAAGAGGGAGGGAATCTGGTATTCAAAAGTGGTTGAAAGACACATTATAGAAGACCCTGAGTGCCACAGAGAGAAATGTATAAGGAGGAAGTGGTAGGTTTATAATCTAGGGTTTCTCTTCAGAAAGACTGCGTTTTAACAATAGTGTAGACAGGATTACAGTCTGAAAAGAAAGAAATGAGGAAGGAAATGCTTGGGAGACTATTTCAATAGTCTGGTAGAGTGGTGGTAAAAAAAAGTCTACACAAGAAAGTAAAGAAGCAACCGGAGGATAGAGGATATAGAACCTAAGAACTGATGGCAGTTTCAGAAGAAAGAATAAAAACAAAATTGCTATGCTAGAAATCTGGAAAAATGACACTGTCATTACAAAGTATGACTCAGTAAGAAGGAAGTGCTAGTTTCACTTATTTATTCAATACATATCTATTTGCTCATCCACTGTACAGCAGGGCCCTCTAATGGGTGCTGGGTAGGGAGAGATTGACAAAAGACATGAAATTCAACCTCACAGAACTCACATGCTATTAGGGGAAATGAATGCTAAACAAACAAGCCAATGTCTATATTCAGCAACTTCATGAGTGGCAAGTACTGTGAGGAAGTTAAAGCAAATGATGACACAGAGGGACGGGGGAGGAAAAAAATTACCTCCAGAAAGGTGTTTTTGAGTGGATCCAAGGAGTGGAGTTCTAAGAGAAGAACATTTTGAGAGAGTGGGAGTCTAGAGCACATAAGGACAGCAAGAAGTGAAACTAATACTTCCTCCTTCGTTACTTACACTTTTAAGTAGCACTTTCATTTTTCCAGATTTCCAAGCCAGACAGAAGGAGTGCCAGAGGGGAAATGGGAAAATGAGGGCTGATAAGTAGATGAGTTCCAGACCAAGTAAGAATTTAGATTTATTCCAAGTCAATGGGAAGAATATGGAAGGGGCTCAAGCATGAGAGTTAAACATCTACTAACTTTTTAAAATACCACTCTCTTGCTCTATGTAATACAGAATGAATTAGAAGTCGAATCAGGAAGAACTGAGAAGTTGATGTAGTGCATCAGACAAGCATAGTTGCTTGAATTAGTGTAGGAGCAGACGAGACAGCGAGAAGTGGTTTTATTTAAATAATGTGTGCAAGAAGAGTTAACGGGACTCCTAGATGGAGGGAAGTGGCAGAAAGACATCAGTAACAGCTTCCGAGATCTTGGAGTGTGTAACTAGCTGGATAATGATATGGCTGATAAGGCCTGGGAAGCAACAGATCTGGAGAATTGGATGGGATAGGATGCTCAAGAAACAAGGGTTTGGTTTTAGATTTCTAAAATTTTGGATATTTATTTGAAATCCGAAGTGGAGCTTGTCTAACTGTTAAAGGGAATGCTGGTTAATTCACTTTTTTCTTTGTCATCTGCTGGTTAATTCACTTTTTCCTTTGTCATCTGTGTTAATATAATAATTAAAGAATGCATGCAATGCATTCCATGTAAGTAAGCTATAAAGCACAATAAAACAGAGAATACCCCGTGATATCACAAATCAAGAAATAGATCTCTATTTAGGTGCTCCCCAATCGCATTCATCTTCTTCCTTTTCAGAGTTAAACATAAACCTGAATCTTGTTTTCTTCACTGGCTTTCCTGCACTTTACAAGCCAGCATTCTTATTACATATGTATGCATCTATAAATCCATATTATTTGCTTTTGCTAGATTGTAAGCATTTGAAACAAAACAGTACTATATATAGTTTTCTGGGACTTGCTTTACATTTTTAACAAACAATTGGTGTTACTTTACACTTCAGTAAACACTTGGGTATTAGACTTAAAGGATTTTTTTTTCTTAATTAGTGTTATATAACAAAAATCTCATGGATTTCTGTTTATTACTCATACAATAAATATATTAAAATTATAAATCAGAGTTTAACAGACATGGAAGCTGGAATAAGAGGATCTAACATGAATTTAATTAGAAGGACAGAAGAAAGGATAGAGAGGGCTATGACAAGAAGCAATAGTCAGAGACTGAAGCTGGTAACTCTCCCAAATTTATGCTGGATTTAAATCCATAAATATAAGAACTAAAAATAAATGCAAAATGAATAAATTATCGATATAAAAACACAACTAGTGAAATTGCTGGTAATAAAGACAAGGAGGATGATAGCAGATTGGCAGTCATTTTTAAAACAGCAAGGAAAGCCAAAAGCCAGGGATATATCCTCAAAATATGGATTGAAATAACCAGAATAGGTGTCAACCTAAGAAATATAGATGCAAAAAAAAAAAAAAAAAGAAAGAAATATGGATGCAGTTGAACAATTTTAAAGATCAAGGACAAAATAGAGAAAATGGAATCAAAAGGTCTCACCTTTTAGACTTTCACTAAATGAACCTCCAAAAGATATACTTTAGGAAAAAGGAAAATAATCCCAGACGTGATGTCTGAGGCACATTTAGAAGAAGGGAAAATTGGCAAACTCATGTGCAAATTTTAATGTTGTCTATATAATGTAAGAAAAATAATGCTGACTGAATTCCTGCTTTAAAAAAAAAAAACTACATAAAATAGGAATAAAGTATACTCAAAAACAGCAGAAGAGAAAGGGGCCATCGGACAAAGTTTTTAAAGTTCCCTGTGTATTTAGGATCAAGGTGAAGATATCGATCAACGTTAGACTTTGTTAAGATCAAGTTCAAGGACAACCACCAACCAAACAGAAATAGATTAGAAAGTCTCCAAAAATTTTGGTGCCTTTGGTGGAAAGAAAAATTCAATGAGAAAAATCTCAATCCATCTGAAAGTAGACAAGAAAGGAAAGCAAACAGAGCATAGAACTGGACAAAAGCTGTACAAAATAAGATGGTAGAAATAAGTACAGTGAAAAGAAATGATTAGGTTGCACATTTTTAAAAAAGTGTTCTTGGGATACCTGGCTGGCTCAGTTGGTAGAGCTACGACTCATGATCTCAGGGTTATGAGTTTGAGCCCCTGTTGGGTATAGAGACTACTTACGAATAAAATCTTTTCAAAAAGGTTCTTTATGTAAAAGAAACCCAAAGCAAAGTAAAATATGAGAAAATATTTAAGATGTAAATAAAAGCTAGAGTAAAAATATATATGGTGTGTATATTAATTTAAAAGTTGGTAAGATTCAATTTACTATGGTTTACCAAAAGCAACCAAAGTAGAAATTGACAAACTTATTGTTATTTTGTTATTTTACAGAGTTCAAAGAGCTTTCTAATTTATAACACAGTCAGGTAAGAAGTAAAAAAGACTCTGGAGGTTTTGAAAAACAGAATTAACAAGATCGATTTGTGGACAGGTAGAGAATTTGGTGCCTTATAGAAAACTCATATTCATCTTCATTAATATGGGATAGTTTGAACAATGATTCATTAGACCTGAAAGACATTTTTTTATCACTTTCAATTAAAGAATATTAAGATACTGCTATCTCACTGTGTCTTGATATTTACTTTCTCTGGACATCAGTAGTAAACATACGCTTAAAAACTATTTCGCACCATAGGATTTCAAACACCAAATCTCTGCATATAACAGTGTATTTTAATATATTCTTTTCTGGAGAAATGAGAAAATATTTTACCTTGAATTAAAGTGATATTTTTCAATGTCTGAGAGTGTTCCCAATCTTTCAGTCTGAGATCATTAGTGATGTTATTCAGTACTTTCACTTCTCCTTTTATTTCCTCTTCCAAATTCACTTGTTTTTCTTTCATAGACATAATTTCTGCTGATGCATTGTACACACGCTCTTCTAATCTACTCATGTCCTGTGAAATATAAGCAAGCGTCCACAAATCTGTAAGGTTAAGAAGCCCTGAAAGCCAGGTACTTTTTTCTTTTAAATTATCACAGAACATTATGGAATAAGAATATGGAAATTAGAGAACTGTCTTAAAGTACTGATTTTTGGTTTTGGAGCATATTCTCTTTGAACTGAATGGCTGAATTATTGCACCTTCTGTCCCCATAAGATCAGTTGAATATACCCAAGGTACACTTTGGTTCCCAAACATATAGATGTCAAAATGCTAAAAATGACACAAAAATCATGTATAATTTTTAATTTAGCAGAAGTGAAATTTCTTTGCACTGTACTTAGAATAGCTACATATTCCAATTCTGTGAATTTGGTAGAATTTGTATATTAAAATGTTTTATAGCAATAATAAACTTTAACATCATAATTCTCATAGTTTTTCACATTTAGTAAAATCTCAACTAGAATTTTAACAATCTCTTACTTCCAATTTTTTTTTTTAGATTTTATTTATTTATTTGAGAGAGAGAGAGAGCACAAGCAGGGGAAGAGGCTGAGGCACAGGGAGAAGCAGACTCCCCACTGAGCAGGGAGCCTGATGGGGGGGGCCAATCCTAGGACCCTGGGATTACGACCTGAGCTGAAGGCAGATGCTTAACTGACTGAACCGCCCAGGTGTCCCTCTTACTTTTAATTTTTATTATATCTGTGAGGTTTCATTCCTATTTTATATTTTCAAATACATATATATTTTGTGTATGTTTATATACATACATGCATACATAGATTGTGAATAGGAGAGATCATATCGTGTTCTAGAACATGCTTTCATTTGTCACTCAATAATATACTAAGGATACTTACCTCTGAAAGTATTTAGAGACCGTCTTATTTTCAATAATTTAGTAGAATTATATTAATGTATTTTTGCATAGTTTAAGATTGCTAGAGATCAAGTTTTGAGCTGCGTATTTTTTATTTTTACATCTTTAAGCAATGCTGCAATGAACAACATTTTATATATGTATATACTTACATACTTGTACAAGTGCTTCCATAGGACAGCTTCTGGGAAGTAGAGCCGATCAGAGGAACTAAACGTTAAACTCTCTGTTCAGTACTGCCGTGGTGGCCCCAAATATATGTCACTATTTTTTCAATCTTACTAATCACGTAACATTGCCTACTTTTGCACCCAAATGCTGGGTAGCTTCAACATCCTTCAGTTTGCAGAGTTAAGAGTAAATACATAATGAATCATTCTACTTACTCTGCTTTTCAAATTAGGATGAGGTTATGTACAGAGTCCTAATAAAGCTTTCAACAATGTTTGTCTTTATTTTCCTTTCAAGATTTTGCCTTGGTTTTCCTCTGGGTGTTGGGCTGTTTCTGATGTAGCAAACCTTCTCATCCATTCTGGTGAAATTTTCTGTCTCTCTATTCTACTTTTATCGCATCCTCTGTCTTCGTGGTATGCTCCATACTTTTTCTAAGGACATCTCTGCTTACCTGCTGATGTGTTCTCATTGCCCACTGGCACAGAGAAATAAGCAAGGGGTATATTGCTCCCTAATCCAGGTACAAAGAGAAAATTACACTTGCCTTGACTGGACTAGACAAGCTGAAGTGTGGGGTGGGAGGGTCAAGGCAGTTAAGGGTGCAAAGCCTTTGAAAGGAAATGAAAGATAACCTAGATTGGTCTCTTTGGGGGCCCTACACTGAAGTATAGAAGCTTATTGGTTTTCACTGCTCTAACTGTGCCCCCCCAACCCTATTCTTTTTTTTTTTTTTTAAAGATTTTATTTATTTATTTGACAGATAGAGATCACAGGTAGGCAGTGAGACAGGCAGAGAGAGAGAGGAGGAAGCAGGTTCCCTGCTGAGCAGAGAGCCCGATGTGGGGCTCGATCCCAGGACCCTGGGATCATGACCTGAGCCGAAGGCAGAGGCTTTAACCCACTGAGCCACCCAGGCGCCCCCCCCCCAAACCCTATTCTTTGTCTCTACTCTCTTTCTCTTCCTTTCCTGACTATTTGGCATTTCCCATATCATATGGTGTAAGTCATGATCATGGAAAGTGCAGCACTGGGCATGCAGTCAATAATTCTGTGATGATGTATGGGCATGGATGGGGACTACACATTTTGTGGTACTGAGTAATGTATAGAACTGTCAAGTCACTACTGTATACCTGAAACTCATGTAACATTTAAAATAAATACAATTTTGAGATGCCCGAGGGGCTCAGTGCGTTAAGCATCTGCCTTCAGCTCAGGTCCAGTCCCGCATCGGGGCTCCTGGCTCAGCAGGGAGCCTGTTTCTCCCTCTTCCTGCCATTCCCCTCTCTTGTGCCCTCCCCCACAAGAGAGGGGATTTATTTATAAATAATTTAAATTATAATTATTTATAAATTTATTTATTTATAAATAAATAAAACCTTTAATAAAAATAATTACAATTTGGAAAAACACTTTTAAAGCTTGGGTGTGAGCATGGATGCTTGGAAAGCAGAGCAACATGAAAAATACTCTACTTCACTTGGGGGCTCCAGATAGTCACAGAGCAGAGGGCAGGGGGCTGGCAGTTGATTTTGCTACCAAAAAAACAGGACTTGCCCATGTTTTTCATACATAAAGCTGAAGCTGCCTTTTTGTTCCCTTTTTTGAAAGCTGCCTATGGTGTTCGTATTAGCCAGATTTCACTTGAAATCATTTTTACTGGGAAGAGGGAAAGTGCATTTTATTATTTTTTTAAAAGCCTATTCAGCACCCATACACACCTTCCATACTGTACCATCAGTGGCCCTGCTGGAAACTGGCATTTAATTTTGCATTCTTACAGTTCTTTCTATCAACAATGGACATGATGAATTCCCACCTCTCTCTTTTCTTTTGCGCTAGCGTACTTTTTTCCCTCAAGCTGATGTTTGTTCTGTCCTTGATGGGCATCATGCTTGATGGGCATCATGCTCATAAGTCTTTCCTTCAAGCAGCACTTACTGATTCAGGCATTCATTTAATTTACTTATTCCTGCATTGGGCTAAAGATTCGAAGATGAATACAATTGTTTAAGCAGTGGGGATGAGAGTCTGAAATTGTTTTCAATCAATACATGTGTGCACACATACACACATCCATATATATACACTAGCCCTGACCCAGTTTCTAAATCTCTACAAGTGATTACTGCTTGAGGCGGGGGCGGGGGTATAGCTTTGGAAGTCCCTCCATTCCCTCTACCTTCATTTCTTTTCTTTCTTTCTTTTTTCAGTTGCACAAATTGATTTGTCATAAGATTCTACCTTCATTTCTAATGCCAAGACCCCCTCAAAAACATAAGTGTGATCTATCTGAACTCAAAGAGTTCACTGATCACTACATTTTGATTGTTACCAGTAATTATCACTTCAAATACATTCAAGATTTCTACTCTCTTCCAGTCTCCAATTTGGTTTCAACTCTTGATGTGAGTTCATAGAAATCCTATAGTCTCTACTGAAATCTGGGACATTAGCAATACCAAATACTATCTTGTCTGTCCATGTGGTCCATCTTCTTTCTCTTCGCCCTGTTTCACTGCTCTTCTGCTTTTACATAAGGTAATATTTCTTCTCCTGTCCTCTTTCCCTCCAGCTTAATCAGTTATGACTCTCATAACTGAAATTTTATTTGTCTCCCATATTCTTCTGTCCTGTAGACAGTTAACTACCTTGTGACTCTCTCTACCCTTCCATAGCCTAAGTCCTTGATACTTTTTTAAGATTTTATTTACTTACTTAATTAATTTATTTATTTGAAAGAGAGAGAGAGCGTGAGCACAAGCAGGGGAAGGGGCAGGCAGAAGAAGGGGAAGGAGGCTTCCCACTGAGCAGGGAGCCCAAAGCGGGGCTCAATCCAAGGACCCCAGGATCATGATCTGAGCCAAAGGCAGACACCCAACTGACTGAGCCACCCAGCTGCCCCAGAGTCCTTGATATTTCAACAGTAACTGATATACTTAGATGCTTATTAACAGTGTTAGAAACACAGTCAGATTTTGGAAGAGGTGATGGACTATCAAGGCTGGTGTTAGCCATGCCATTGTCTTCTGACGTCTTAAAACCAGGATCACATGAAATTCAAAAGTCCTGAGTGATGGTACCTTATAAAGAAAGATGTAAACTATTCCTTTTGTAACCAGTTTTGTCTGTTCCCTAGTCCATAATTTAGTTGGTTTTCATCTGATGTTATGACTTTAGAGGTTTGCTGTTCCTCGGTAAGTGACAGCCATTTTTAAGAAACCACTACTGTTAATACTGTCTCTATACAGAAAACAACTTCATTAATCAAAAATGGGTCTATTCAAATAAAATCTTCTACCAAGATGTCAACGTTGTTTAGCTAATGGTGGAAACTTTATAGGCTTCACATTAATTACAATCTTAGCTCTTAGATATTTGATAATACAAAGATTACTTTTTCAGAACAGTAGTTCAATTTTAGTCGTATGCTTATTTTTCATGGAATGGAACAATTATAATTATTTAGCAACGAAAAACCCCACAATTTTGAAATAAGGGGCTTGCTTTTTGGTTTCTTTCTCATCAATACAAAGCAATTTGGTAGGCTGGCCACAGGACAGTTTATAACAGAGGTGAGAAAATTATGATCCGTGGGCTGAAGTCTGTTTTTGTAAACAAAGATAAACTGGATCCCAGCTCCCCTCCTGTGTCTACATACTGTCTCTGGCTGCTTGTGTACTACAATGGCACAGCTGAATAGTCACAGGGGAGACCTTACAGTCCCCAAAGACTAAACTTCCACATCTGGCCCTTTACAGTAAAAGTTTTGCTGACAAGCTGGTCTAAACATGGCTTACTCTCTTATCTTATATATTTGGCCCTATGATAAAAATTAAATGTTGCCAAGTATTATTCAAAATTTAACTCTTTCATTATAGTTATCTTTACACACACACACACACAAATAAAACTTATGTCTACTTCTTGGGATTGACAAACTACTTACAAATGTAGAGTATGTGCTATTCATGTAAATGAGGTTTCCATTTCTTTAATGATGAAGAAATTTAGGTCTAAGATAATCTAAAAATTATAATTGGCTTAGACAGTCTCAAGTACAACAAGATTTACAGAATTAAAATAGCTTAAGAGAGTCTATATCCAATGTAAAAATAGCCCTCATTTTGTTGGGAACCTGGAGAAGACAGTAGGTAAATTCACGTACAACCTTCTGGTAAGATTGCCAGAGAAATCAGGGTAAGTCAGATGATGTTGAAATGGGGTTTGCAAATTTTGTTTGCTTGAAATATCTAAGGAGATAGGATCTAGATGGATTCAATCCCAGCATGTGACGTTCTAATACAAAAGCTCTTACCTCTTGCTGTTTAAGTGTACTGTCTTGGACTTTGCCATTCAGTGTTTCAATATTGAGCTGCAAATCAAGCAATGTGGTATTCAGACTTATTAATGACTTGGAGATTTCATCTATCATGTTTCCGCGTCTCTGAACTGAGGAAACCAAGGTACTCAGCTGGAGAAGAACTTCATTAAATCTCTGATCAGTCACCAGACTAAAATTTTGGAAATGCTCTGAATCTATGAGATTGGCTTCTGTATCTGAAATATATTGGATTCTGTTCTCCATGTTGTTAATTTGTTCCATAACAGCTTCTCGAAATCTCATCTCATCTTCACTGTTATTTCCTTTTCCTGTGAGACTTTGAGATATTTCGTTTGCATTCATGGAGCCAACTGTGCAATTCTGCATTTCCCTCTTCAGGAGCTGTGCTGTATATTTAAGTGAAAATAAACAGAGTCATGGCCTGTATCCTCTAATGCATACACCACTCCATTCTGTATTATTCCATTCCATTCTAACATTTTGAATGCTATCCTAAACTGGGTATTTACTTTAAATATACAATGTGTGAACCACACTACACATATTGTTGAAAGGAAGACAGCCAGCCTCCTTGTCCTACTTTACATCAGAATTTATTCCAGGATCAAGTCATTCTTTCTGAATTGCTGCTTATATGCATCTTCTGGGCCTCTGCATTTGGCTCTGACAGTGAGATTATGAAGTGCATTGTATCCTACTCCTCAGGTCTGTTTGGATAAAATGAGATAATGCTTAACACAGTATCTGAAGCAAGCATGTTGAATACGTTAGCTGTTATGAAGATAAATGATGTGACAGAAACAATACATAGTAAAAATCGAAGTATTAGTGTTATCCACTGTATGAATAAACTGTTGGCTCATCTTCCTCATCCAGTCACTTAAGCTGGCAGAGAATTGTCATTTTCAGTTTATGCGGGACTATTTATTATTGGTGGGACAAGAAATTGAGCAAATAATTTTCTCACTTTAAAAAATATTATTTTTATAAGATTCCTCCTTACCTATTATAAAATACATATTCATAACAGAAAATTTTAAAAGATAGGTAATAAAGAAAAATAACTTACTCATAATCTCACCATCCTGAGTTAAATACTAATATTTCGATGTGTGTATATCAAATCTGTCTCTTTTTTTTCACTAGCATATTATTATTACAAAAATAATTTTAATACCTACATTGTATTATCTGTATGGATCTACCAAATTTAATAAAACTCCTACACTTAATTTGCTCTATTTTTACTAATATATCCAATGCTTTGAGAAAAAAATCTTTTAAGTAATTATTTCCTAAACAAACAAACAAACAAAAATCTATTAAATTGTATTTGGGGGAATATACAGAGTTGCCGATATGTATGTCTAAATGGGCACACATTCTCTAAACAAGGTAAATATCCTTCAGAAAAGATCTAGAGTGGTATGTCTGGAGTTTCGAATCATGAAAAGCATAAGCTCTGCAGATAAAAATAATACATAATTACACGCAACAAAAAAATGTTAAGTACCATTTTATCACTAATCAGTATAGTTAAGATTGTTTTTCCTATTTCCCTCTATTTCTATCTATATTATTATTTTATCTACATATATATTAGTATTTTATTCATTTATTTTGAATGCATAAGATTTTTCACATTGACCATTATCGAGCAATAAAAAGAGTAACTATATATGCTTTAAAAATATATCTACATAAACAGCTATACCTGATACATCAGTTTTCTTTTTTTTTTTTTTTTAAAGATTTTATTTATTTATTTGACAGAGAGAGATCACAAGTAGACAGAGAGGCAGGCAGAGAGAGGGAGGGAAGCAGGCTCCCTGCTGAGCAGAGAGCCCGATATGGGACTCGATCCCAGGACCCTGAGATCATGACCTGAGCCGAAGGCAGCGGCTTAAACCACTGAGCCACCCAGGCGCCCCATACATCAGTTTTCTTAATAAAAAGGATATGGCAATAGTATCAGCCTTATGGATTTTTGAGAATTAAGTGAAATAACACATAAAAGATAATTAGTTCCACCCCAAGCTCAAGATTACCTATTATATAAATGAGAGGCTGGTATTTACTCAGGAATAAACTGCATGATGCTATTTTTTTTTTATTACTGTATAATGTATTTTTTGTTTCAGGGGTACAGGTCTGTGATTCATCGTCTTACACAACACCCAGCACTCACCACAACACACACCCTCCCCAATGTCCATCACCTCGCCACCCCATCCCACCCATCCTCTCCTCCAGCAACCCTCAGTTTGTTTCCTAAGATTAAAAGCATCTTATGGTTTATCTCCGTCTCTGGTTTCGTCTTGTTTCATTTTTCCCTCCCTTCCCCTATGATCCTCTGTCTTATTTCTCAAATTCCTCATATCAGTGAGATCATATGATAATTGTCTTTCTCTGATTGACTTATTTTGCTTAGCATAATACCCTCTAATTGCATCCACATCATTGCAAATGGCAAAATTTTGGGATTTTTTTTTGGTGGCTGCATAGTATTCTATATATATATAGAATATATATATTGCTATTATAGCTATTATTATTATTATATATATATATATAACATCTTTTTTATCCATTCATCTGTTGATGGGCGTTTAGGCTCTTTCCATAGTTTGGCTATTGTGGACATTACTGCTATAAACACTGGGGTGCACGTGCCCCTTTGGATCATTACGTTTGTATCTTTAGGGTAAATACCCAGTAGCGCGATTGCTGGGTCGTAGGGTGGCTCTATTTTCAACTTTTTGAAGAACCTCCATACTGTTTTCCAGAGTGACTGCACCAGACAAGCTGCCTAACTCCATTCCTCAATTACTAGCTAGGGTACTCTGGGAAAGTTCGCTTCTTAAGTTCCTCAAAGATGGAAAAGTAGTAACTGTTTCCAACAGTGGTTTTGAGGATGCATGAGGTAAGGCATACAAATCCCAGAGCACACACTTGGCCCTTAGGACAATTATGTTCAAACTAAAGTGCTTTATCCATGAAAGATATCTTAGATCAGTTACGGTCTTCACCATCTTTATTTAAAGAAGCTGGTTGATGATGGTTGCTATTATAGCTATTATTATATTAGGAAGAAGTACGAAACGATATATGCAATTAAATCCCAATTTTATTTATTTATTTATTTATTTATTTATTTATTTATTTTTAAAGATTTATTTATTTATGTATTTGACAGACAGAGATCACAAGTAGACAGAGAGGCAGGCAGAGAGAGAGGAAGGGAAGCAAGCTCCCTGTTGAGCAGAGAGCCCGATGCAGGGCTCGATCCCAGGACCCTGGGATCATGACCTGAGCTGAAGGCAGAGGCTTTAATCCACTGAGCCACCCAGGCGCCCCTAAATCCCAATTTTAAAAAGCCAAATTATATCTTGTTTTCCTAATGACATTCTTTAAAATTAGCTTATTGGAGTAAAATGTTTGACAACATTTTTATATGATCCAGAGTGTGTAGTGTCTTACACTTCTTAATTTATTAAGGAAGTAGACAAAAACACATTTTAGTTGGATCTCATCACATTTATTATCTTCAGTGTGGGGAGCAAGTTCTGGACTTCTAGCCTCATTCAGGCACTTAATTCTATGATTTATTTATTAAGCACCTACCACGTATAGAGCACTGTTTGAGGAATTCTGGGGATGTAAAACTGGGAATGGATTTTGACTCTAATAGGAACCCAAACTAACAATTTTTACAAAACTGTTTCATAGATGTCCCTTAAAAATGTTCCTTTCATGATGATTATTGCCTTTTCTAAGTAGCAGTTAAAAAATCCAGGTTCTAGGGGCACCTGGGTGACTCAGTGGGTTAAGCCTCTGCCTTCGGCTCAGGTCATGATCCCAGGGTCCTGGGATTAAGCCCCACATCGGGCTCTCTGCTCAGCAGGGAGCCTGCTTACTCCTCTCTCTCTGCCTGCCTCTCTACCTACTTGTGATCTCTATCTGTCAAATAAATAAATAAAATCCTTAAAAAAGAAAAAATCCAGGTTCTAAAGTGGAACTGCCTAGTTTAGCAACTCTTGTTCTTTCCTTTTTAATCTGTGATCTCAGGCAAATTATTCTGTCAGTGCTTCTACTTACTATATGATAGATACTAACAGTCAGTGTTCAAATAATTAAATGAGTGAATATATGTAAAGTATTTATACTGTTTACTGGCATATGATAAGCATTTGATAGCTTTTAGCTTTTTTGTTACTAATATTTTAGATTCAAATTCTGTGAATTATGTTTCTGTATGTACAATATTTGAAAATATTGATGGGAAACTAATACTGTTTAATAAAAAAAAAACTGGGGGGAGGTTGAGCGTTGCGATGACCACTGTAGTTTCTGCACATTATTTTACTAAGCATAGTGATCTAATTGCTCAAACCATATAATTTTTCTTTCCCTGGAAATGATTTCTATTTCACATGGATAAAGCAAATCTTTTTCACAGTATGGAAAGGGAAGACTTGAAATGATAAAATATCACGTTGACCAAAGGTTTCTATCTGACATGGACTTCAACATAAAGTTGACAAAAAGACTATGTTTTTGCTTACAGATTTACAAACACAACACTGCTTGTTTTCCCAAATCCTATATAAAAACTAATCCTAACTTTTCAAAAAACTGTTTAACTCTGTATCATAAATCTAGGTAAAGAATGAGAGACTTCAGACCTTCAAATGTTCATTTCTTTCATTAAGATGGCATTTTGTGACTTTTCTATTTCACATTTGAAGGAGACAAACTTTTATGGCTTGTGCAAACCCCCAGGGAGAGAGTGGTATTTGATTTCACAGATCTATATTTACTCCTTCATGTTGCTAATATCTTCTCCTGCCAAAAATTTGTATTATTTTGATCTAAAGAATCTTCAGTATTTCAGCAACAATTACATATGCATTAATCTTAGATTGTATTTTATTGCCAGAGACGTTATGTTGTAGTATGATAGGGATCTAGGAGTTTCATTAAGAAATGATAGCGTATGGAGCAGCCTTCATCATTAAGAAGTATCTTTCGTCATATAAGACACTTTAAATTTAAATAGAGTCTTTGTGCACAAAATTTTATTTCATCTATCAATTCATATTTGCCAAAACAGAGTAATTTCTATCTTTTAGAGATATAGTTTGTCTTTATTTATAATTTTTTATATCAAATAGAGATATGTATTGCATTTATTTTGTTTTGGTTTTGGAAAATATTCTGATCCGTTACTTAATTAAAGTTGAAAACGGATTGTCAATTGTTTATTCAAGTGTGACAGAAACAGTGAGATCTATTCCAAGTTGTGGTGAATTTGAGTGCTAATATGAACGTATAAGATTTGAACATTTTTAACTTCTTGTCAGTCTTAGTAGGTGGCTGCTATAGTTTTAGGGAACCAAATTCTTTCTTTCTCTTTCTTTCATTCTCTCATTCTTTCATTCTTTTTTCTAACAAAACTACTTTGGGGCAGTCATTTCAACCCAACAATGAATGTGGAAACTTGGTAGTATTTTCTAATAGCCCCCAAATTTTGAACTTGCTTAAAACCCTAAATTCTTTCCAGATTTCACTGGCCCATTCTGCCCATGACTGTTAGATAGACGTTCCAACTCCCTGGCGTTCACTCTGTAGGCCCTGGTTTCTATAAAAGCGATGGAACTTACCTAGATTCTTACTAGCTTATACCTAATGATCCCAAGCAATGAAGTGTCTTTCAACTGAGCATTTCAAATCAACATAAGCATATACTTAAGCAGCATAGAGATAATCTCAATTCATCAGGAAGTCAGCTGTGTAACAACAGGTCCTTTGCCACAGATGGCTATGGTTGGTTTGCTTGGTTGGTCAGTTTCATTTGTTGTGGTTGGTTTTTGTTTTTATTTATTTTTTAATTTATTTTTAATTTAATTTATTTGCTTTTTAATTTTTATTTTTAATGGCCAAAACAGGAATTAATTATTTTTACCTGTGGAAACATTTTTTTGGCTAAAATTATGAAAACTGTTTTGGGGTGTGTGTGCGTGTGTGTATGTGTGTTTAATTGGCCAATCCCATTTTTTTCTAAAAATTCAATTACATCGGGAGAGAGCAGACAACAGACATTAGGGAATCAAGACTCATGGTGGCGACTGCAGCTCTACCACTGAGCAGTCTTAGTTGCTTTTTGTGGATAATGAGAATACGTATATGTCTGCTTGAGGGTAACTGTAAAGGAATCTTAAGATAATCTGTGGAATATTTATAAGGCCAGTGTCTGGACACAGCAAATGCCCAAAAGTGACAGCTATTGTGGTTTCATTATCATTTCTTAGCAAATTCTGGCTCTGTCTTCAAATATTCCTTTAGGTTGCCTTATAACAGAGGAGGTTTGGCCTCGTGTTTAGGATTAGGCTGACTCGTATGCACATAAAAATGTATCCTACTCCCTGCTCGGGAGAGCCTACGTCCAGACATTTTGCCCATCAGAAACAGGAGAGCCACAAGGCACATAAATTCAAATGCCAATCAAATCGATCAAAAAGGCAAAATATATTTACAGATCTGACTGCGTTATATGCAAGCTGCCCACCACTGTGGAAACCCTCAAATTCATCCCTACCTCAGGTTAGACTTGCCAAAGAAGTAGTGCCTTTAAAGTGTTCTAGTTTTTTTAGGTTGAGGGGATGCCATCAGGCTATTTTTAGAAACGTTAAATACTAGCCTAAGATATTCTTGAAATACAGGCCATTATTGTGCAAGATCTCCTCTCCGTGAGGACTTGCAGGAATCTTTCTTTCTCCTCTCAGTGCCAGGAGCAGAAGAGCTTTTTTTTTTTTTTTTTTTTTTTTTCCCAAACAACTGGCTTGTTTTCTTATTGCTGTCTTGCTTTGTTTTAGGCATTGCATGTAAGTGGTCCTGCTCATATCTTCACATTGGCGGCTGGAATACTTATCATAAAATTCATGACCCACCACGAGAAGTACATAGGACTCCAGGGGATAACATATTTTTTGGAACTGTCTAATCCATTCCATCGCACCTCTACACAGCTGTATTTGTATCTCAATCTTCTATTTTCTATTCTATATTTTTTTTACCTATTAACTCTAAAGAACCTATTTTTTTTTAATTTATGAATTTGAGAAACACTTTACGATAAGGATGTTTTCCTAGTGAATCTCCCCTGTACAAAAGACCGAATGCTTCTTTTTGTTTCTACAACAACGAATTCACAGGATGAGTTGCTGAGTTTCAAAACTCTAGAATACTGTACCTGCCATTATTCCAACGACGGGTACGAGCACTACAAACACAAGAAGATAAAGGGCAATCAGTGCAGCTTTGAGGGACTTCAGTTTCTCTTGAAGGGTAGGGCCATTTTTAGGATCTGAAAAAATGAAAGCCCAACCTGCTGTTAGAAAACTTACTCTTCTTACTTAATTAACATTTTGGTAATCTCCAATTCTATCATTACCACCAAGCCTATTGGAATAAAAGGGGAACAAAAAATGTGCCCCCGTTTATTCAGTAGGAAGCAAAAGGAACAATCACAAGAAAAGCCAATACAGGGATGACTACGAACATCTGATTTACTTTCCTTTAACTAAACATCCATGACAAAGTTATTGTCCTCTACAACTTGTACTTGTCTCATTTGAGGGCATTCGTTAGTTGACAAATTTTAGTATTTTCTGATATTATTTTTCTGATATATTTTAATATTGATACCAATATATTCAAACATAAATTTTATTCTGTTTCATGTGGGAATATATTCTGAGTAAAAACCACATTCCTCATGTAACTCTATAATTATGATTTTTTTTCAGGGTTTAAATCAGATAAAAAAGACATCTGTTTTCAATGATAATTATGCAAATTTTCTTTTCTAATTTCATCTCAATAATTCTGTATTTGGATACCTCTTATGATTTGAATGTATTAAAAAATGAGAGAAAACTATTCACATTTTGACTAAGCTTCAGAATGGATCAATGAAACCCATCCTCTGAGTATTTCAGAAAATATTAATATTTTTATTTTATCCACTTACTTAGAATAGTGATTCACATAATGGGATACTAATTGTGGAAAAGTTAACTCAATGTGGAGCGGAATCTTAGTAGAGGACGAAGACATTTTCTCTGACTAGGTGAATAAAACATCCATTAAAAATTACTTTCCTATGGCCATTGCTTTCATTGCAGAATAAAAAAGATTTTGTTTTCAGGTTTTAAGTTCCCACATTAAAAATAAAAGTTTAGATATTATTTAATAATGTTCTATGAGGCATTGAAAGGGAAAGGAGAGAAAATTCAATAAAAAATAAGACCAAAAAAAAGAGAAAGAACTAAAAAAATAAAAAGAACCACCCACAAAGCAAGCAAGATGGGCTACCCTTTGCCAGGCTGAATGAGCCTGAAACTCATTGGTGATCTCCCTTATCTTTAATTTATAATCAAATCCTCTGCATTCTGCCTTTTAAGTAGCTCTTCAAAGTTCCTGCGGCTTTTTCTCTGTCCCCAATGCTTCTGGGCTCCCTCCTCAATCTCTCAACATCTCTACCTTACACAGCTTTTACTAGGGTCTTAATCCCTTTTGTCTTATCATGCCACATTCTCCCACCCGTCGATTGTGTAGTGCGTGATACCTGTCATTCCTTGGGGTTACAGACTGTATTTCAGCTTTGTCTGTGTAGGAACGCATCCTTCTTATCCCTTGCATATGCTGCTTCCTCTGACTGAAATTTCTATGGGTCCTCTTTCACCCACCCTCCTCTTTCGGTGGAATCTATTCAGCCTTTAAAGCTTGGCAGAATTGAATGCAACTCTGTCTTGTCGCCTTAATAGAACCTGTCTACATATAACCGAATACTGATTCTTTTGAGCTCTTGTGACCGTGCAAACCTCTGTTTCAGCACTGCTGAAAAGATAGCATTGATGTCTTAACTCCAACTGCCTGTGAATGTGACCTTATTTGGAAATGGGGTCTCTGCAGGTATTATCAAGTGAAAATGAGGTCATACTGAATTCACGTGGGCCCTTGTCCCACGATGGAATCCTTCCAAGAATAGAGTAGAGTGCACATAAGCACAGGAAGAAGACCCTGTGAAGACGGAAGCAGAGACAGGAGTGATGCAGTTACAAGCCAAGGAAAAATACGAATTGGCAGGAGCAACTAGGAGCTGGGGAGAGGCCAGCAAGAGCCTTGAAAGGGAGCACGGGCTTGCTGACACTTTGACTTCAGATTTCTGGCCTTCAGAGCTGTGAGAGAACAAATGTTGTTGGAAGCCACCCAATTTCTGGTGATGTGTGACAGCAGCTCTAGGAGACTAATTCAAGTACATACCACCCATGATTTTCAAATATTAATTAACGGTGTTAGGGGTATAGTTATTTCCAGGACCTCATCCACTGGTTGAGAGGTCAGACTCCCTCAACACTGTGGACCAATTTAACCTATAACAAAGCTTCCTCCATCCAACCTAAGCTGATTTTCTATTCTATCTCAAAAGAGGAGAAGACCTTCTCGTCCACTAAGTCTTAACATTCATACACAGGTAAGGTAAGTCCCACGACTGTAATTTTACATTGTGTCACTGACTGTAAGGACACTCTCCACAGGCACCCCACTCATACTTACACAGAGGGAGCAAGGCTGTCATGGAGTGGGCATCAAACTTCACAGATTCTGAGTGGTGATCAATGTCATCCTGTTGATCCACAGAGCTATTCCACTGTTCCATACTTCTGTCAGACACGTGGAAAAACACTTTAGTTAAACCTGAAGGGTCTAGGGCCCTTGGCATAATGTCTCAAGTGGAAATTTAAAATTAAAATTCAATTTTAGGGATGCCTGGGTGGCTCAGTGAGTTAAGCATCTGCCTTTGGCTCAGATCATGATCCCAGAGTCCTGGGATAGAGTCCCGCATGGGGCTCCCTGCTCAGCGGGAACTCTGCTTCTCCCTATGCTCCTTGCCCCTCTCACTGTCTCTCGCTGTCTCTCGCTCTCTCAAAGAAATAAATAACATCTTAAAAAACGAAACAAATAAAATTCAATTTTAGCAAGGGAATAAGTACAATTAATTAAATTTACCTATCTGCCATACATAGCAATATATTGTATCTACCCATAAGTTTTAATTTTCACACTGAAAGACCTAAATGAAATCTACTCATGTATCTTTCTATGGACAAATGCACATCTGTGTTTACAGATGTGTAGATGTGTGTTTTTTGAGAGAGAGAGATAACATTTCTTCCTTACCTAAAAACAAAAACAAAAACAAAGAAAAAAAACACAACCTTTTCCCAAGTGACAGAAAACAACTGTTGAGCTGAAATGAAAAAGAATTTCCCTTAGAACAAATAGTTGGGCAAAATTTGGAGCAAATATTTCCTGTGATCTTTCATCAAAGGTTTTGGATAAAACAAATAGTTACGCAAAATTTGAAGCAAATATTTCCTGTGATCTTTTATCAGAGCTTCATGAGTCAGTTTTTCTTTTGCCAAGGCATCTGTTTATCGCATGAGAAAGATAAAGTCTAGCCACTGGATTAAAACCACAGCAAAACTTCATTTCCCTGTTCTCTTCTTCTTCGTGTTGTTTTCTTTCAGGGCTTCCCTCATACAATGGTAGCATCACAGAAAAGTCTTTGTAGCTTTTTAAGCACAGTTTTATTCTATGACACTATCTATGCCTGTATCTCTTTAAGATGCACTTGAATCCTTTGAGAGGCGTGACGGATGGGGCTCACCCAGAGTTTCTGATATTTAAGGTTGGGGGGTACCAAGAATGCAATTCTAGGGGCACCTGGGTGGCTCAGCGGGTTAAAGCCTCTGCCTTCGGCTCAGGTCATGATCTCAGGGTCCTGGGATTGAGCCCCGCATCGGGCTCTCTGCTCAGCGGAGAGCCTGCTTCCCTCTCTCTCTCTCTGCCTGCCTCTCTGCCTACTTGTGATCTCTGTCTGTCAAATAAATAAAAAAAAAAAAAAAAAGAAAAGAAAAGAAAAAAGAATGCAATTCTAACAAGTTCTCTCTCTCTCCCTCTTCTTCTTCTTCTTCTTCTTTTTTTTTTAAGATTATTTATTTATTTATATGAAAGAGAGAGGAGAGTGAGCCAGAGCACAAGAATGGGGAGGGGCAGAGGAAGGGGAGAAGCAGACTCCCCACTGGGCACAGAGCCGGGCTTGGGGCTCCATCCCAGGTCCCTGGGATCACGACCTGCGCCAAATGCAGAGGCTTAACTGACCCAGCCACCCAGGTGCACCTCCCCCCATTAAGTTTTCTCAATGATGCAGGCTGCCACCAGTCGAAAGACCACATTTTATTTTTCAATGGAAAAAATTGTATGATTTTTTCTTGGAAACAGTTCAGTTCACTTGATTGATAAATTTAGCATAAAGTCAACATCTTCTGATCATTTCTTATTTTCTCTAATGCTGAGTTAGGGATTTAGTACAGCTGAGGTTTTAACTGAGTGCACAGGCAGCTCTGGGACACCAGACTCACATCTTGTCCAGGAAATGGAGGCCAGTCGTTCAAATGCAAACATTCATCCTGCTTTGGGGAGAGGTATTGACGAGTAAGGATGTGACTGAACTGTCTATATATATTTATGTTTTTAAATATTACAAAGGCGATTCTTTATTTTGCAGTTTGCAATGGCAATCTTTGTATATACATCACTCTGTGGACTGGCTGAAATTCCTATAAACCCACTGAGCCACCCAGGCACCCCAGACCAAAGACTATCTTTAAATGATTTGGCTACTGTGGAGAAAGGGACATAAGGGAAGGGCTTAGATACTCTTTTCTTAGGCAGAGACAAAGTGAAAGAAATAAACATCTGGGAAAATTGACCATTATAGGAAACCAAATTGGATAATTCAGATGCAGACTCTCCTGCTATTTCCCCCTTTTTAATTTATTCTATTATTTGATTTGGATGATAGCTTTACTTGCCAAGCAAAACAAACAATTTTAAAAACTGAAATGACAAGAAAGTTTAGCTGAATTTATTTTAAAACTATAGTTCAAAGCAATTGGGACTATGTAGCAAAGCTGTTTATCTTTTAACTCGGTTTATAAAGAATGCTCTCACACCTATGTGGTGTGGGGGACAAATGGGAGAACCTTAAGAGACTCTTAATGATAGAGAACAGACTAAGGGTTGATGGAGGGAGTTGGGTTGGGGAAGGGCTAAATGCGTGATGGGGATTAAGGAGGGCCCTGGTGATGAGCACTGGGTATTGTATGTGAGTGATGAACCCCTGAATTCTACTCCAGAATCTGATATTGCACTGTACGTTAACTAACTAGAATTTAAATAAAAATTTTAAAAAATGGGCTCATAAAGTATATGTTTATATATACCTGCTATTAACCAGAAGTCTTTTCCTTTTAGAAGTTTTTACTGGCCCTTTCTCCTTGGGCATGACCATGGCTTTTGTGTGATAGTGTAACTCCAGTTTCACTTAAATGCAAAGGAAAGATCTCTTCTGTTACTCAGTCTTCTAGATGGGAATATTTTTGTAAAAAAGATGAAACCTTTTGAATCTGATAAATCTCTCTAGACCTTGAGTGACATAAGAGGATGGCCCATGTCTGTTTTCATTTGACATTCAATTAGCAGAGCCTAAAGTAACCTATAATATTCTTTATTATAGGTTATAATATAGAATATACTTAATATAATATAGAATATACTTAATACATATTTACTGAATGAAGGGACTAGATATTTTTTGGTAAGATACTAGTCATATATAAGTTTTGGTTTTATTTTTTAAACAAGATGGATTTTTGGACATACTGTGACCAAAAAGATGTGTTTCTTCTGATAAAGAACTTCCTGGCAAATGAGTGGTGTCTGTGATTCAGATCCATCCATCCTTCCTTTCTCCTTCCTTCCTTCTCCCCTCCCTTTCTCTCCCTCCTCCTCTCGCCCCTCCTCCTCCTCCTTCTTTCTATTCTACATTCTTACTTTTCTGGTAGATTCCTTGAGCTGAACCAAATCTTAGGGCTAGGTGACTATGTCATGCTGTTGAGACACAGCCACTCACTCTACCTTTTTCCTTATTAGCCTCCATTTTTACTTTGCCAGGTCCATTCAGCAGCTAGCGATGGCCACATCCCATTGTAGTTCTCAGAGGAGCATTAGTAGCATTGTGGCTAGGACAACTCTTTTTTGGGAAGGACTATCTTTATTGTGGTTGCCACCCTCTAAGTGTCAATAATGTTTCCTAGTCCTTATGTTACTTATATTACAGTTCCCAGACAAATAAATAAATAAGTAAAAAAAATAAAACCCAAAAACTTTATCCCCACACATTTCCAAATACCTATTTCTCCTTGAGAACCACTCTTCAACATAAATCCCCAATATGGATGGAAGTTTGGGAGCTTTATCTCTCTCTCTCTGTCATACTTGCCTTGAGCAATCTGATTGTTAACATGCTTTTAATATTTGTTTTCATGAAAAAAAATATCTTCATGAACTTCAGCAACAATACAGATTCCTCAAGTTGTCTTTGGAGATCTCTCTGGAATCATTGCCTGTGTGTTTATGTATACATATTTGACAACTGTTAGAGTCTATATGGATGCTCCTTAGAGAAAATTTACCATTTCATTATTTTAAAGAGGAAAGAAAGTGGCAAATTCAGAATGATAATCTACTCATCTAATCTTGGCCTCAAGAAAGCAGGATGAATGTTATTTTTATCCATATTCTTGTTTAGAAGCTTCACATGTTTTTTCAACTAAATTTGTAATTTTTTTCTTTAAATTCAATTAATTAATGTACTGGTTTCAGAGGCAGAAGTCAGAGAGCCATCAGTCCTTACATGCTCGTTCCATCACATTCTATCACGTGCCCTCCCTAATGTCCATCAGCCAGTTACCCCATCCCCACATCCCTCTCCTCTCCAGCAACCCTCAGTTTGTTTCCTATAAGCCACAGAGTTAGTTTTCTTGGGAGAAAGAAAGAATTCTATTTTTTTTTAAGTTGGCTCTAGAATGCTAGATGCCTCACCATGAAAACAAATAAAAAACAGATGGTATTAGGATATTTCCAATCAATGACTTTAAGATAGAAATACCTATCCCTTCATGCAGACCCATCCAACAAATTCTTATTATGTGTCATTATATCAAGTACAGAGCAAGTTACCAGGAGGCCAAGATCAATGGGCATAGAATATTCACAACCCCCAAAGATCTTATGCATTAATAGGGAAGAATAAGATCGTTATAATCATCTGACAGTGGGACACCTGGGTGGCTCAGTCGGTGAAACATCTGCCTTCAGCCCAGGTCATGATCCCAGGGTCCTGGGATCAAGTCCTACATCAGGCTCCTTGCTCAGTGGGGACTCTGCCTCTCCCTCTGCCTGCTGCTCCCCCTGCTTGTGCTCTCTCTCTCTGACAAATACATAAGTAAAACCTTAAAAAAAAAAAATCACCTGACTGTGATCTCACTACTATTGTATGTATATATGTATGTGTGTATACACACACACACACACACATAGCACAGATATAGTCCAAAAGTGAGCGATTAATTCTTTGAGCAAGCAGGTGGTCAAGGCTGGAACACAGAACAGATAATACCTTTATCAAAGTTTTGAAGAGTGAGCAGGAATTAGGATAAGAAGACTACCCAAGGGATGGAAAAATCTATTAAAGGGCAGGAGGACAGGGACAGCATGGGGACTAGAGTGGATCAGTATCACAGAAGCAGCAACTTGG